CCCCCCCCCCCCCCGCCCACATCCCCCATCACGAAGTGGATGACAAGCATTTTTGGATTGGCATATAAATCCACTCCATATTTTTATACATATTAGTATCCCCCCCTTCTCTCTCTCTCTCTCTTGTGTGTGTGTTAGCATATGTATAGAGAGAGGGGGAGGGAGGGAGAGAAAGAGAGGGGAGAGAGAGAGAGAGAGAGAGAGAGATCTCCAATATATTACATAAAGATACAACATAATATTTTTGAGAAACTTCTCGGTCATCTAGTCTTTCTTTCCCCTCTTTAATTGTTTAATTCTCTCCTGGGTTGAGACTGTAGTTTGTATCATCCATAGCTACTGAATTTCCTTGGCAAGAACACCCTCTAGATGTCACATGTGATAACAACAATAAATGCAAATGGCTTGTTATTCCAGCACACTCACTTTTTAGGGTCTACAATTTCTTCAGTTACAAAGTTTATATAGAACCTGAAACAAGCAAACAAATAAAAGAGTCAAGAGTCAAAACATGTTTGGATTCACTTCAAATAGGCTGTGCTAGTACAGATTTTGCATTTTATCTTAAAGGAGAGCCATAATTGTTGTCTAACCACATAAACAGCAGCAAGCCAATTACAAAAAATACCCTTATAATTTAAAGTCAGGTTTCTGTCTTCAGAAATGGAATTCACAGTTCATTCAGCTAGCTCTGTCAACTTTAAAAAGGCAGCTCATAGCTTTTTTTAAAAAAAGTTTGAGATACATTTACGGAAAAATAGCAGACATACTGCACTAGAGCACATTAAGGTTACTAATGCATTGCCCAACTACTGCTTGAGCTGATATATTGCATGAACTCAAATCCTAGTGTACAAACAATGCTGGTTGCTTAAAATATGCTAAACTCAAATCCCAGGAAAATTCTTTTTGGAATGTCAACATACATAATTTAAAAACAAAACAAACCAATCATATGGCTTAACATGATATTTGCATCCTGCTATGAATTTTGTGAAAGTTAATTACATGTAATGATTTCCAAGTAAATATTTTTTTTAAATATTCAGTTATAACATTGAGGGTGCATCAATGTCCCTTCTATCCTTTGCAAAAGTAAAAAGTTTAAAAGTCCATAATTTAGAAACTTACCATCCTCCATAGGCAAACATCCCGGAATAAAAAGCAAGAGGTAGCTTTTCAAGTGTCAAGGAACTTGTATCAAAACTATCCTGGAAATTTTCATTATGACCTAGATTAAAAAAAGGGGGAACATATTTTTCCTCTTTCTTGTAACAAGCAATACAGATAGTCCTCAGCTTATGACTACAACTGAGCTCAACATTTCTGTTGTTAAGTAAACATTCGTTAAATGAATTTTGTCCCATTTTATGACCTTTCTTGTCACAGTTAAGTGAATCACTGCAGTTGTTAAATTAGTAACACCATTGTTAAGTAAATCCGGCTTCCCCATTGACTTTGCTTGTCAGATGGTTGCAAACTGGGATCATAACTCTGGGATACTGCAACTATCATAAGTGTGAGTCAGTTTGCCAAGCATCTGAATTTTGATCATGTGACCATAGGGATGCTGCAACAGTCATAAGTGTGAAAAATGATCATAGGTCACCTTTTTCACTGCTGTTGTAACTTTGAACGGTCAGTAAATTATCAGGTAGGTCGAGAACTATCAGGTTATCTGAGGGACCGTCTCTTGCCAGTCACATCTATCCAACCCATTAGAGCAGGGAGTCAGGGGATGTTGCGGGTCCCATCTCTGAGGGAGATACACCTGCTGGGACCCAGAAGAAGGGCCTTCTCTGTGGCGGCTCCCTCCCTCTGGAATATCATTCCCCCAGAGATTAGAATGGCCCCCACTCTAACACTCTTCCAGAAGGCACTGAAGACCTGGTTCTGCCAGCGGGCCTGAGGAACCCAGAGGGGGATGGAGCCCATCAAATGGCTAGTGTGGTCTGCTATCCTCAGGGTGGGGGGAGTGGGAATTGGGGGTGATTTTTTTTCCAGATTTTGTTCTATTGTATTTTATTAATTTGATTCTTTTTGTTAGTTTTTATTGTTTTTATTTTAAATATGGTTTTACATTCTGTAAGTCGCCTTGAGTCACCATGAGAGAATAGGCGGCAATATAAATTCAATAAATGAATAAATAAATAAAATAGAAAACCTTTCTAATGTAACAAGAGAACCAGGTAAAAATCTAAGATTCTTGGAATTTAAGGGCTAACTAAATCAATAGCACTCTTCTTTAAAAAAAACAACACCGCAGAAATATTCTTATTCTCTTCTAGTGTTTTCCCTCTCCTTCTCCCATAGACTTTATCGGGGTATCCACAAGGTATGATTTTTTAAAAAAAAAACTGATGATGGTGCAGTCAAAATCATGTATATTTTTTAGTATTGTGTTGCACATAAATAGTTAGAGCTCCAGCCTCATCATTGTAGCCATCATCTTGACTTTTTTTTTTTACCATATCTATGGATAATCCTTCAAGAAATGAAGTTGTTGTGCATGACAATATTTCAATCTGCTTGTAGAGTAAGTGTGTGTGTGTGTGTGTGTGTGTGTGAGAGAGAGAGAGAGA